TTTTTTTTTAATCACTTAGGATTTACCCCTAACAAAGCTAGATTACTCTTAATAGCAGCTCTTCCACATTCTTGATATTAGTTCCCTGCAGTTATCTCTCTCCTGGATTGTTTTATTCTGAGAAACATAAAATCAACAAATTTTAGATTTATGGAGACTTTGAGACCATACCTGTCCACCTTTCCTGTGTGGTTAGTTTAACTAATAACTCATTATCGAGACATGTGCCTKCGGACCTTTGCACAAACCTTAAATTAGTCCTTTGAAGAGAAATATAGAAAGCTGATGAAGTGTTCCATCACTTTAGAAGAAACTGGCTCAGAAGAAAACAACCTCCAATATGTAGTAATGAAACCAGAGAAAAAATTGAAGCCATGAAACAAAATTTCACTGTCAAGTGTGACTGAATTTTAGCTATTGCTATTTAGTGTCTTTTTAAAACAACTTCTATTATTGAAAGAAGCTTTATTTAAAAAAAAAAAAAGAAATCATAGCTGATTTTACAGAGAAGGTATCCTTAGCAAACAATATTAAATTTTTATATAAAAATTAGTACCTTCTACCCTTTATAAAAAAAATAACTAATTTCTTAGCAATGCTTACAAATGTGAGGCATAAACTTTGGTAGGCACTGGAGGAATATGTCTTCTAAGGGTTCATTCACAAACTCTGCTTGTCTGTGTTGAAAAGGGGCTTTGGTCATTTACTCTGGGGACATTATTTCTAGGTAGGCTTTAGCAGGGGTTTTTTGTGTGTGAAGGCAGATTCTTAAAGAAAAATAGGATCTGTGTACATATAGTGGAGACACATTTATCTTTGAAATAGTGTGCTCCTGTTTTATGGATTTCTTTACTGAATTTGATAGACTAAATAATGTTCATTCCCTTCCAATCCCGTAATTCCTTGGGGCATGGTTTTACTCAGAAGCTATTTTACCTTCGTATTTTCAAAACACCTAACTTGATAGACAAGGAGACTCCAAGAGTCTTCGACTGGAAAATTCTGAGATATGATAAATAGCTCTCTTCCTTTGTTGGTGACTTATTCTTACAGATTGAAGCATTTCCTTTTTTTTTTTTTTTTTGTTTTGTTTTTCTTCTTTGCTATTTTCTCGGTATTGTAGAGGGAGTTTTATTTTCTGGGAAGTATTGTTTGCTGGTAAGTAATGCGTCCAAACTGTAGGAGGCTGCCACAAAATTTATCTTAGAATCATGAAAGCTCAGGGCCGAGAGACTGAGATCCTAAAATCATGCATCTTTCTCATTTCACATCTGAGAGGTGAAGTGGCTTTACGAGACCCGGTAGTGAGAACTGAGAATGAAAGTCAAGGTTCGTTGACCGCATCATGGCCACCTCTCTAGCTCACCAGAAGCAACTCCAAGTTGAGAGTCAGATTCTGAAAGCCTAAACAAACTGAGTTCCTCAAGTGTCTTCCCAGCTTTAAACTCATATATATGTCATACCCATTCCATTCCTTGATGTGTCTGGTCACACAGGCCAGCGCTAATCATACAAATTGGACTCTACCTCGCTACCCTCTGTCCTTAAGGCCACGTTGGCCCTCCTCCTTCCTTCATACACAGCCCAACATAAGTGTGGCACTTCATAAGTGTTTTTTTGATGAGAGCAATGATTGCTTTGGTCACTTGTGGCTGGGCCCTCCCTTATGGAGGAGGAAAACCAACGGTTGTTGCTAAGCAACACTTAAAGGAGTGGGTTGGCTTCTGACACTGAGTGACCTCCTTTTGCGTACTTCATCACGTTGTGTTTTATGGTTGCTTAAAGATGACTTTGGTTTTTGATGGCATTGCCACACCCTTAGCAAGACTCATAGGAGAATTAATTGGAGTGTGGGAAGAAGGGAGGTAGTATTTGTTCACTACTTCCAAGACTACAGGGACCCCTTCTAAGTATGCAAGAGAAGAGAGAAGCTGGAGATGAGAGTCACCTCCCTGTTCCCACATTGRGACTTATTGACAATATATCCCAACAGGGCCCTATGGCAATGGGAAGTTACTAAAAAAAAAATGAGGAGAAAAATCTTGCCTCTTCTAACGTTTTATGATTTGTTTTCTACCTGCTCCTATCTCCCTGAGCTGAGGGGTCAATATAGCTAATAAAGAACAAGCCCCCTCTTCCAGACTGTTAACTGTTGTGGTTAACCAACACACCCTAATATATCCCAGTATTTCTACTTAAATGAAAGCTGATTAAAAGCACGAAAAGAATTTTTGTTGGTTTGTTTGCTTTTTTTCACTGCTATATCTCCACTGCTTTGGCCATTTTGAACATTCAATAAATATTTGTTAAATACTTGGTAAAATGGGATTATTGATTAGTGCAAGCCAGATTGACTCCAACTATTTCAGAGATTCCAGAGAAGTAAAATGGAGGATAATTGTTTGTTTCATTTGGCTAAGTCGGGTACAGAAAAAAAAATTAGGGAGGAAATCATCTGCCTCTAAGCTTTTTACAAGATATTTTTACAATGGTCTAAGTAAAGTTTGCTTCTTTCCTAAAATTGAGCAGATCAATCAGAGCATATAAACCTGCTTTTTCTAGCTTCTAAGACTTCCATGCAGAAGTCTTAGAGGACAGAAGATGAGAGGCCATTGTGACAGACCAGTTGCATCTTTAAAAATAAGTAACTTGGAATTTATGCAATTTACCTGCAATTCAAAATTGCAGAATTTCAACAAGTAAAATACAGTGGCTGAGATGATTGATTCAGATGATGCCTGGTTACTRTTACTAACATATTTTCTCATGGGAAAACATATACATATGCAAGCAGGGTTACCCAGAAAAAGGGCGATAGAGCCTCTCTGAGGACAATGCATAGTGCAGTGAGTCAGCAGGCAGCCCTACTGATTTGCATTGGCTTCACCTCAAAAGGCCAGGTCTCCTGGGCACAGGCAATGGCATGACCCCGGGCTTGGATGCCTGAAGTGAAGCTATTGTCGGAAGCAGGATGCTCATTTGGAAGGGGAATGCCTCTCAGGAAAGAGAGCCAATTGCAAGTTAAGGCTGTTGCCATGACGCTGGGCTATTCCTTCAACAAGCTGTACAGAGCTCCTGGGAGTCTAGGGCAGGGTAACAGAGGGGAGGGAAGAGAGGAGCCGAGTGGGCCTGGGTGGGGAATCCCACTGCAGTCAGCTCTTCCACTKTTCCTCTTTCTTGTGCAATAATGGTGACAAGGAGAAGGTGGGGTGGGGGGCAGCGGGCTGCAGGGGAGCCTACAGGAAAGGAATGACATTCTCAACATCTCCTAGCTTGTTAAAAGAAAAATTAGTTTAACTCCTAATTATTTCTAACATGAATTAGAGGATGTAACACTAAAGTACAAAATCAGCAAGTCACTCAACCCTGAATAGTTGTTCATCGTTCACTCAGCAAATATCTTGTATTTCCTAACACACTCTAAATCCTGGAGGGAAAGGTTAAATGAGTTTAATCCATTTGCTGAATGTGATCTACCATGCATATTAATGAACTGATAGAGTGCAGAAAATTGCAGGCTGCATAAGGAAGTACTTTTCAAAAAATAAATTAATTCCATTCCYATTCATTTTATTGTGAAAGAAGGCTAAATGCATCAGCACACTGTTGGTGGGCACATAACCCTACAAAAAGCTAGTTTAAAAAAAAAAGAAAATCTTGTATACTGGAATCATAGTCTGAAAACAACTACATTCCTGACGTTTTTCAATTAAAAAAAAAAATACCCAGAAAGTGAATTAATCAAATGCACCATCGCTTTAAGACAATTAGAGTGTCTGAGCTTTGTGCCGAGGCTGCATTTTCAAAGGGCTGGTCTGCAATGGAAAGAGAGGGTTAAGGAACACCTAGTTGAAATGGGGGAGGGTGGGACTTCAAATTTACTTAAATATTCATGGGGCTTCCTCCATTTTAATCTTCTCCTTTTAAAAAGATGGCTGTGTTTCCCAGCCTGGAGAATTGCTGCCTCCTTGCAGAGTTCAGCAGAGTAGGACTAATCTAGGGTGGAAACCCCCCTCGGCCACCAGGACTCTTCATAATTGATAAGTGTTTCAAGCCAGCCAGCTGAATGCATTTGGACAGACTCTTGCTCCTCTGTACAATTCCTGATTTCATTACTCTCTTCTGCCAGGAAATAAGCAGGGAGCATAGGCTTCTAACAAGAACGGAGTGCCGTGATGGGCTTTGTTTGGATTAGGAAATGCCATAAATTTTGGAGGCTTTGTCTTTTCTAAGTTTTGATTATTTTACCACTGGATCTGCAGGGCTTTCCTGATCCATTCGGGATTGCTCTCTCTCAGAACTGAATTCTTTCAAAGGGATTTGTGGATTGTATCAAGAAGAGCATTCAAAATGCCTGAGGCAAACTATTTGTTATCTGTATCTTGGGGTTATATCAAGGTGGGTTAATTCGATTGTGTTTTGTGTGTGATAGAATGTGAAACCTTTACATTTGTATGTTGTCTGTGAAGTGGAAAACATCTGTAATGATTTGTGTGTTCATTTAACCCACTGGCTTCTGATTGTGAAATTGTATTTAAATATACAGTAATGTATTTGAATCCTGTTCTTACTCARCTTAATATTTAAAGAATGCTTTTGTTTTCCTTTAAACTTTACATCTACTCTCCTTACGCTGAATAGGTTATCAACTCAATTATATTTTAGAGTTAATTGTCCACAAATGTATTTTTAAAAACGATTTCATTTTTCAAGTAAAAAAAAAAATTTGACCTCTATGGAATTTATTTTCCTGTGTTTGAATATTCAAAAAAAAATCAGTTGTTACTACTAAAATATCTTAAGAAAACCTTCTTTCCTAAAGTGACGTTGGAATAATTTCAAATTAAGGGGATATTATGTTCTTTAGAATCGGTATCATTTATCTAACAGTATCTGCTAGTCCAGTTTCTTGGTTCCTAGAAAGTAAAGTTGGAAACATTTAAAGTGATAATTTGCTGTTTCTTTAGGTGGTTAATGCATTTTTTCTTCTTTACAAACAGTTCAAAAGAATGCTGAACCGGGAGCTGACACATCTCTCAGAGATGAGCCGATCAGGGAACCAGGTGTCTGAATACATTTCAAATACTTTCTTAGGTAAGATATTAAAAGGGAAAAAAGCTGTCCCATAACGGAACTTTTTCAAGATTAATTTCACAACCCATCAAGGATATTCYATGTGAATTTGGAATGGGGCTAAGTTATATATAAAAAAAAAATCCATTTAAAATAAGAACTGAAGCCAATCTTTAAGGGAAAAAAAATTAAGCAGGAAAATGATGGGGGGAAAATGAGTACAAATGCTTTTTAAGTTAATAAATAGAAATGAATACAAATGCTATTAAAGACAGACGTTTATTATGGGCTGACTTATATGACTGTAGGTCCCTCTTATCTACCAGCCCAATTCCATCTCTGCCAAGATCTCTGAAGTAGCACAGAACATGCAATTCCCCAAACCCTAGTGACAACTCCATTAGCTCCTCTGACACGGTATTATTCCCATTCTTCCAATAACTGGGCTTTGAGAAAAAGGTGCTTTTTCAGGGATACGCTGGAAGACTAATTCCATAGTGAGYTTAGAGAACTAGCTTTGGAAGTAATTTGACTACTGCTTTGCTAAGTTATTTCTTAAAAATAAACAGTGGGAAAGAGGAGAATTTTCATATCTCTAAAAGATTTGATTCTTCTCTAAGCAGCATCATTGTCTTCTGATCCTTTACCTATCATTCTCCGTTGTTACGTTAACACACGACACTGACCAAAAAGGTTTGCATGAATGACCCTCAATTACCATCATGCATCTTGTTTGATTATTAGGGATTTCTGATCTCAGGCTTAAAGGCAATTCTGTTGTAAAATGAACCTATTTTGACTTCTTTAATATGGCCTSGAGAATTGGCAAATCTGTACTTCAAAGTGAATGGGTAGCATTTAGATATTTATTCTGTTGACTTTCAATTAGTGTTGAATTATACTTGCTTATGAAATTCCATTTTCCAGGGAAATGACCCATTGTAACAGCTGACCATCACACTCTCCTTTTTGGAATAGTCACATATCATTAAATCAATGAGCATCTGCCTTGATGCCTATGGATGCACATATCTCTTTAGTTCTGTTAATGAAAAGATCAATCCTATTTCTTTAACACCAAAGCAGTTCCTGCTATCAGCAGCAGATCAATCAGCTTTCTCTTTGAGCAGCCTAGTACAAAGCTGGCACATTACTGTGCAGCCAATGGTCTCTGAGCAGGATTAACAAGTGCCTTCTGTTTCTATATGTATCTGCAGCCCTTGGATTTTTTCAGCTGCATTTGCAGCAACCTCTGTCAGAGAACAAAGAGGAAGAATTTTTTATACCTCCTATCTCCCAGAATTGTCTAGGATCTAATTGAAGAGGAAACATGACATATTGAGCCTTTTCTTTCCCCCGCTTTCTCCTGTATTCTTTTGAATACAGAAATCCTCCATTGACCATTTCATAAATCCTATTCTTTGGAACATTCAATTATTTTGCATAAGCTGGGTACTGTTTTAGTTACATTTTACAGGTTATTGACTACAGGAGAGAAGAATAAAATTAATTAAGTGCAATAACTTGTTTTAGTTAAATGTTAAAATGCAATGGCTTATATGTCTTTGCAGAAAAGATTCTCACTATTTTTCTTATTTGTTTTAATTAGTTACACATGACAGTACAATGACCTTGACCAATCATACATTTGAATTAGATGGGATATAATTTCTCATTTTTCTGAGTATACAGGTTACAGAATCACATTGGTCATGTAGTCACATATATACACACAGTAATAAGAGATTCTCACTATTAAAGATCCATGAAGTCTGAGCCCTTAATCCTTCAAAACAATCCTCTTCATTCCTAGTCTCTTGGAACATCCATTTACCAAGGATAGCAAGAAGGCCTTAGTATACTAATTAATCTCTTTTTAAATCATCATTGGCTATCAAGAGGGAAATTGGATAAGATATAAAGATAAGCCCGGCATGGTGGCACAAGACTTTCACCCCAGCAACTTGGAGGCTGAGGCAGGAGGATCCTAAGTTCAAAGGCAGCCTCAGCAATTTAGGTAGGCCCTAAGCAACTCATCCCTAAATAAAGTATAAAAAAAGACTGGGGATGTGGCTCAGTGGTTAAGCACCCCTGGGTTCAATTCCTGATATCAAAAAAGAAAAAGAAAAAGAAAAAATATATACAGATAAACTTTCAGTCTCAAAACTATATGTCAAGAACAGACAGATGTCTACTTTTTTTTTTTCATACCAAGGATTGAACCTAGGGGCACTTAGCCCTTGAATGTATCCCCATCCCTTATTAGTTCTTATTTTGAGACATGATTTCACTAAGTCACTTATAGGCACATCCCTTAAGGAACACCAATTTTTTGGCTTCTCATTATTCTGAAAATTAAACAATCAAGAACAAATTGTGGAGGAAAGTTATTAGAATCCCAATCCTTACATGCTCTTAGCATTAAGAGGATGGTGTACAGGAGAAGACATGTGTGCTAAACCCCAATTAACAGACTAGACAGGTATATTGGAATTCTTAGGAAAATAAAGGAAGAAAAACTATATAAAAMAAGATGCCTTGGTTGCTCCATCTGTAAAATGGGAGCACGGGGATAGATGACATTCCATATCCTTTCCGACTCAAACATTCTGTGATTCTCAAATGGACTAAATTTATCTGTTTTACTAAGACATGCTTGGCAACCTGGGTCCTCTGTRATGAAGCCTAGCCTTGCAATTTGACAGTCTTAAAAAATGAACAAACAAATAAAGCTTATTTCCAAACTGCCAGTGTAGAACCTAGAACTCTTAGTCATATCTTTTGAGCATGATAGGTGTTCCCAGGGGACCATGAAGCCTTCTTCATAGACTGCCATGTCTACAAAAGACCTTAATATCCTCATGGTATAACTTCCTCATTTTATAAGAGAGAAAACTGAGGTCCAGAAGAATGACATAAATCAACCTAGGTCACTTGGCTAACATGTTTCAGAGCCAGAACTAGCACCTAGATTTCTAGACCGAAATACCTACCACTCCTGATAGGAAGTCGGAACACAGAGAAGAAAATGACAYGAGTAATATGCACATTGTTTGGGAAAAAATGTCTTTAGGAAACAGAATTGTTGGACCTAAAAATGAAATGTTTATTAACAGTTTCTGATACTATAAAAGGCTTTGATCAGAGCATGGCAATCATCTCTGAGCAAAATGAGATGATTTTAGCAATGTTAAAAGCAATATCTCAATAAGCGTCATTTAGTGTTAAAATGCATCATCCTGGGAGGAGGGAATTCCCTTAATCTGGGGATCTGTGAAACTTGTGTGGTTTCCATCTAAAAAGATGGTGTCCTAATTACTAGTCCAGATATGTGTTGTAGCTCTTGTATGATGATGGGCTCCAGGTTGCTGGCACAAATAGAAATAGAAGAATATAATTTCATGGGAAAATAAAGCAGGATGTAGATGGAGAGAACATAAATAAAACAAGATTTTTCGATATTACATGACAATTTAATGTTTTTACAGACAAGAGAAAAAAAATATCCTTTTGAATTCCTTACTTACTGTCTTGAAGCTAGAACTTAGAATATTCCAGATGTAAAATGCTGCTGGGCTTCAGCAAGCAAAGCATCTCAGATTGTGCCATTGAAAGAGATTGGATGATACCATTATTTTGTGTCTGTTTATGTTTGTTTTACAGTGGCCAACCATTCAACCATTTCCCCCACTCTATTCTGGACATTCTGTATATGTAAATTCACTGTGTTTTTTGTGCTTTTTTTTTTTTTTTTTTTTTTTTTGAGTCTGTGTCTCAGGCTGTTTCCACGCTATGCTGGCTAAGCATTTAACAGGAAATTCAGAACAGGGAAGCCTATCAGTTGTTCCAATGCTTGCACAGGGAAACTCCCATTAAAGTCGAATTGGCACTCTGTGAATAATGGCCTTCTTCTTTATTGCAATGTTCCAGACACAGCAGTAGTTCAGCTCAATTACTCACTGTTGCAGGGACTCTTTAATTAAACAAAGGGGGAAAGCTGCTAGTCCCACTAGAGATGGTTATTACATCTGCAGAGGTATAGGGGAATTTCACAGCCTCTTAACCAGATGTGAAAAAATGGTGGCCAGGAAAGGCAGGGGTTATTGTGGCCTCTCATTTTAGAAGAAGTTGTGATTATTAGGCATAAAGTGACAGGAAGAAATATTATTATTCAAAAATAATGTATGGTTTCTATGCCAGAGATTGCATGGCAGGAAAGAGATTTTTAACAGGAACCTCAAGACCTGGGTTCTATGCTCTTAAATAGTTTTATCTGGAACAATGTAATTGCAGAATAAAAAAAAATTGTTAAATAAATTGTTCTTTGAGCTTGCTCAAGTTGCTGACTTCATCTGAAAAATAAGAGTGTGTGATTGTCATCGGTTCTTAGATTTGGTTTTGTTTATCCAAGTCATAGGGGAATCTTTTAAAAAATACTGTTTCAATAGAGCTGGGTGGGGCCCGTCAATCTGTATATTTCGAAAGTTTCCTGGGTGCTTCTGATTCTGGATTAAGTTGGAAACCCCTGAACTAATTGAGATGACTAAAATTATTCCCTAAGTAAAAGCTATAGTCTAAAGAGCTTGGATCCCCTACAGACCACAGCAGGGTGTGCTGGGAATAGAGAATACCCTGTTCCGGCCCTGTTGCCAGGTGGCAAGGTGAAGGTGAAGCTGGTTCTGTCTCGCTTTGCTTTGATGAAGTGTCATCAGGGCCTGTGAGCAGGCAGAGGTCCCTGGGGAAAGCATATGACTGTGCTGTCATCTCTAAGAGTCTAAACGCAGATAGTGTGGATGCCAGCATGCCATCTGGAAGCATGTCATTTTCAAATGGAGAAGCTGTCTTTGTACTAATTTTCACTGTAACAAGCAGAGATAAATGTCCGCCACTTCTGAAAGCTGCATTAACTCTTTCTCGGCCACAGGGTGTCATTTAGTTCAATGAAGTAGTGGTTAAGCAATTTAATCAATTATTGTTTCTGTGCCCTCACAGCCATCTCTGTGGCCTGAAAGAGTTAAGATATTTTTTTTTTCCCAGAAGTATTCAGGATACATCTACTATGAAATAGAATATTTGATTGAAATTTTTAATAGCATAAAATAAAGAACTTTTATAGCAGCTAGACACTTTTTTTTTTTTCAAATGCTGTTACCTCATTGTAACAAAAAAATTTTAAATGAGAACAGAAGAACAGAAGATTATGCTTGGGTTCTTTCCTTGTTTCTTCTTGGACAGTTAGTTAGTTCCTCTGGGCCTCAGTTCACCTAGCATAAAATGGAGCAACAGACCATATTTTATCCAATGAGAACATGCTATGGGAGTTCTTTATTGGAGTCAGAATCCATTACCCACAGTTAGCGTTATTTTGAATATCTCTGGGCATACTCATTGGAACTTAAAACATATTTCTTTGTCTGTTGTAGACAAGCAGAATGATGTGGAGATCCCGTCTCCCACCCAGAAAGACAGAGAGAAGAAAAAGAAGCAGCAGCTCATGACACAGATAAGCGGAGTGAAGAAACTGATGCACAGTTCAAGCTTAAACAATACGAGCATCTCCCGCTTTGGCGTCAACACCGAGAATGAAGATCACTTGGCCAAGGTGTGCATGAGCTGGGATTGTGTGCATGTGGCTCTTAACTTTAYAGCACACAGGGGCCCTTCATCATTTAGAAAATAGTAGGAATCACTTCTACTTTGTTAAACTTTATGATAATGAAACTTACGTCCTACATGAYATTTATTTTTAATTTTTAAAATTTTTTTTGGCTATACTGGGAATTGAACCTAGGAGTGTTTGACCATTGAGGTACATCCCCAGCCTTTTATCTTATATTTTGAGACAGGTCTCACTATGGAACCCAGGTGGCCTAGAACTTGAAATCCTGCCTCAGCCTTCSGAGTAGCTGGGATAATAGACAGGTGCCACTGTGCCTGGTCTTTAGTGTTCTCTTTTGTCTATGCTGGGGCACCTGGTTGAAGATCCTTATTCCATACCAAAAGGCTTTTTGTGTTTTTTTTTCCCCTCTTTTATCCTGAATTGAATTTAGTAGTGGATAGTTCCTTATGAGTGGAGCATCCTTCTGAAGAATACAGGGAAAGTCCAAGGGAAAGCCAGTGGGCAGGTCTGAATTATCCCAGAGGATATTTTGGGAACTCTATGCTAGGGGCCGGGAGAAAATCTGCACTGATTGACAGGGCTAGAGGAGAAATGAGGAGACAGGGACAGCACTGGCTCCTTTTCCCAAACCCTCACACTGGAAGAAGGCACAGAAAATATTCATATATCTTATGAATATTCATATATCTTATGACTGCTGAGGTCACGTAGCCTGGTGAGAGTGTGAAAGGAGCTCACTCTCGGGAAATGATCATTCAGTGAGACTTGCTGAAAGCTGTCATTAGAGTAAGATTGATTAAACATGGGGCCAAGCCTGTGGGCAGTTATTAAGTATGGAATAAGTTGTTCCTTAAATCAGATAATCTTGGAATAATCCCACAACACAGATCTGGATGTTGCTTCCTCCAGGTCTATCTGTGGCCTCGGAGCCCTGGAATAAAATTCAAGAACAGCCTTCTTTCTGACCTTTTGCATTAAATTGGGGCCTATTTCTGCACATTCTGACAGCTGAGTCTCCCTGACCTGAATTCAGTGATAATAACCAAAGGGTAGAGGAGTTTCCCTGGTGCCRTTTTCTAGCTGTTACTGATGGACCAGTGAGAAGCAAGGGGAGAATCAGAGAAATGGGACCAGAGTGATCTCTATTCACTTGCAGCTATCTTTAAAAGCAACAATGGCTGAGGAGTGACGCATGGCAGAGTTGGTCAGCAACAAAATTATTACAAATGAAGACACACTGTTTCTTTTCTAAAAAAAAAAAAAAAAATATGCACAAACTTGTCATTATGATAAGGACACCCAGCCTCCTGAGCGATTCCACTCTCAGATTTTCATGCAACTAGAGCACACTACATAAATGCTCTGAGGACTTAGGTACCCAATGTCCAAGAAAACAATTTTTAAAAAATCTTTAGTTGTATATGGACACAATACCTTTATTTTATTCATTTATTTTTATGTGGTGCCGAGGATCAAACCCAGTGCCTCACCTGTGCTAGGCAAGTGCTCTACCCCTGAGCTATAACACCAGCCCCCCCCAAAAAAATAAAACTTAAAAATATTTTTTAAAATATTTAAAGCTGGGCATGGTGACTCACTCCTGTAGTTCCAGCTGCGTGGGAGGCTGRGGCAGGAGGATTACTTGAGTTTTGAGACCAGTGTTGCCAACACAGCAAGACCCCTTCATCTCTAAAAGAAAATATTAAAAATTATCCTTATTCCTAAATTTCTCTAATTTGAATTACAGGAGCTGGAAGACCTGAATAAATGGGGCCTTAATATCTTTAATGTGGCTGGATACTCTCACAATCGGCCCCTAACGTGCATCATGTATGCCATATTTCAGGTGAGTAAACAGGAATGAATGTTGGTTATCCAATTGGATATCTCTTTGTGATATTTTTATTCTATCACAGTTTATTTTCGTAATTTGAATTCCTCGTGTGTGTGTGTGTGTGTGTGGTGTGCACATGTGTGTGGTGCTGGGGACTGAACCTTGAACCCAGGGCTTGGTGCATGTGAGGCAGGTGCTATACCACTGAGCTCCATCCCCAGCCCCACCTTCCTCCATTTTTGGACATCTGCTTATTCATATTCTAAACCATTTTACCACATAGGAAAGAGACCTCCTAAAGACATTCAAAATTTCATCTGACACATTTGTAACCTACATGATGACTTTAGAGGACCATTACCATTCTGACGTGGCATATCATAACAGCCTGCACGCTGCTGATGTAGCCCAGTCAACCCATGTTCTTCTTTCTACGCCAGCATTAGATGTGAGTAATTATAACCTGTTTTTCATACCTGTTCAACCTCTTTTAAAAGTGCCATGCAATATGCAATATATTTACAAAAATAATGTAAGTGGATGACCTCAAATTCTTGAACTGCTTCTTTGTTACATATAGCATCCATCCATTGGATTATTTATAAAAAGGTATTACATCTCTACTTACTTTGCTCTCTACTATCAGAAGAACCCTCCCTTTACATCCTTCCAATTGAAAATTATTTAATTTTCAAACAATTAGCAGGGTCCAAGCTTTGCTCTTCATTGTATTCCTGGTAAAGGGATACATTGTATCTCCGTGTCTTGTTTAACATCTGGTTTATCATACATCCTCAACCTGCTTGCACTGATCAGAATTGCCCAACACCATTGCAGGCCCTGTGGAGGATCATAGAAATATACTATACAATGCTCTGTATAGTTCCTATTAGGAATAAGCATCTATAGGCTTATTCTTCTAGAAATTCAGCAAACTGATTCTCTAGGTTGAAGAAAAAGTAACTGAAAATCTCCATCAGAGGAAATCAATAATGTAGAAGCAAGGAGGAACCATGTTCTGAGTAACTTGACAAGATCTGAAGAGTTGGCCATGACTCCCTCTCTCACAGATTAACGTTTTCATATTTAACAGTACAATCAGCAATGGCCCAGCCATGCTATCATTGGGCACGTGGAAATGGTGGTCAGATACTTCCAAAAATGTGCTGGCCCACTGCAGGAAGGGGTTAGCCAAACCCTATCCAGTCACATTTTCAGACTCACTTTAGAAATTAAAGATAGATTAAACTGTCCAGAACTCTGTCACTTGTTTTCATATTTTCTAAGAAAAGACTTGGGCAAGTGAGATGGAGCTAAGGGTGTTTGAATCCCCGGAAGGAAAGAAAGAGTATTGTTTTTATGCTCCTATAAATATCATGGAGCAGAACAACACCATTTATAACCCTTGCAGTGTTATTGATAGGATAACTATCATGTGGCAAGAAATTGGCTATGAGTGCCACAAGCTTCTAGAAAAGGAAAGTGTAATATGTCCATGAGTAATAGGATTGGTCTTTGGGGGAGAGGTAGAAGCTGAGCTGGCATTTGAAGGCCTAGAAGATTTAAGTAATCACAGAGGATCAGGAGAGACATTTCTGTCCTACAGTCAGCAACAATGTATACCTAATAAATACCAGGTTTAAATCAATGTGCCTGGGTGGGGACAGAGACACTCTCATGACATGACATGAAGTTGTTGAGCAGTCGGCATTAAGTTTCACTTCTTGGTAACATTCTCAGATCTTGCCTGTGGTGGAGATTGAGTGGATAGGAATTAAATGAATGAATTAATGAATATATGACAGCTTGGGACAACACTATAAATTTAGCTTTGAGTGATAATTTATTGCTTATCTTATTGAGTCTGGAATTTAACCTTTTTTCCTCTTAAGTTACTCAGCCTGAWTATAAAGAGCAGAGCCAGTCTGACTCGCTTCTTTTACTTGTATGTGCTTGTGTTCCATAAGCACTGTGCTGCCATACCACTGATCCAAGAACACAGACATCAGGTATTCACATGCCATGAGCATGGTGCTAATGACCTTCCAAACCTCAGCCTGCGGGCTTGATGTGGGAGTGAGCTCTGGCCACCGTCCCTTTCATAACAAAGACTAGGCTGATGAACAGATTCTGCATTTAATTAAATTAGCATGTTATATACATCAATAATCCCTTTCCCAACAAGAGTGAAGTGCATTACTTTCAAATGAAATTGAACGAGCAGGACAGGTGAATTGAATATGGCATTAAACGTGCTCACTTTGCTCCACAGGCCGTCTTCACCGATTTAGAAATCCTGGCTGCCATTTTTGCGGCTGCCATCCACGACGTGGATCACCCTGGAGTCTCCAATCAGTTTCTCATCAACACAAGTGAGTTCACTACTAGAAAAAGGCATTTGAGATAATTGTCTGATTCACTGCATTTCTTCCTCCTCATGTTTTCATTATAGATAATAACAAGGGTGATAAGGAGGTAATCCTTCCATTCCACTCAAATTGGGTCAGGATACTGGATACTGTGTCCAGTCTGGCAGCTCATTGATTGGGCTACAGAGAGAACTTGGAGAGGGTCTGAGGGAAGCCCTAAAAAGGACTCAAAGTTTGGAAAATACATTAGGAAAGGAAAGAATAATGTGTAGAATTATCCAGTAAGACTAGAAAAGGCTTGGGGATGCATACTGCAACTTTCAGTATTATGTAGGGCTCTCACACACTACATCATAACATGCTAGGGTCCATCTCCGCTGGGGAGGCAGAGAAGCTTCAAACAGAAATAAGATTCCCCAAAAAGCAATGGAATGGCCTTTCACAATTCAAGGGAAAGCCATTAAAAGTGCCACACACTCTTTTCCAATTATGCAGATTCGATCATGGATTGATCTGTACCAAGGAGAGTGACCCAGCTATCTTTTGGTTTGGTCTAGCCTTAGGATTCCAAATCATACTCAAAGATTTTGTTATGCTCAAAATGTTCAGTTTCATGCTATTGATGATTTATTCATTCCTTCAGTTAATGCTCTATCTCTCTGTGCTGAAAATTCAGGTACTTTTTCTTCTGAGGATATTATTTATCCCATTATGGTCATGATTAACATCAAGCACTGATAGTTTTATAAAAATACTGTTTGAGCTCATTGCTATAAAAAAGTCCTTTTTGTCAGTCCTCATCCTCTATCATCAGAATGAGTAATCTGGATTTGGGGTACACTGTTTTTTTWWAAAAAAAAAMAAACATGTTCTTCTATTGAAAGAACATAAACTGCAGCCAGCTGCTTGTCTGCAYGGGTTGCATCAGCTGGCTAAGCGTGCTTTCATGAATTAATCCAGATACAGGCCAGTTAGTGCCACACAGGCTCAAGTTTTTTGTGCCATAGCCATCTATAGATGCTTGCTCTTGATCATAGGGTGACCAGAACAAGGGAACTCATATAACTTCAGAGATCCCATCCTCTTTCTCAGGACRTAACTCAAAGCACAGGATGAAAGCAATGGTATATGAGTAACAGCACCTCTGACTATAACACATTACGTCACTTGGTTGTTAGGCTTGTGAAGAGAAAGCGTGATTTCATGAGTTTGTAGTGCAGAGCTCTGCCCAAGATTTCTGCAATTCTTCTGTGTAAATGGTGGGCTGAAAGCTGTGATTTAGGTACCTAGATATTACTCTTTCTGGTATAGAGAGCCAGAAGGCAGAAATGTCAACATCAGGATTCTTCGAAAAAATTATTGATGTTTAGTGTCACATTTACTGAAATCACCAAAAAAGCTACATTCTTTGGGTAAAACAAAAAATCACACCAGCACTTTATCTTTTTTGAAAATCCTAAACTCACAATTACCAGAGATGGAGGGAAACATATATGAAAAGGAAGATAGGCCAGGCACAGTGTTACATGCCTGTAATTCCAGCTATTCAGGAGGCTGAGGCCAGAAACTCTCAAGTTCAAAGCCAGCCTGGACAATTTAGAAAGAACCTGTCTCAAAAACATTTTTTTTTTTTTAAATAAGAAGGGCTCAGGGTATAGCTCAGTGAGTAAGTGTCCCCAGGTTAAATCCTCATTACCACAAAATAAGTAAATACATAAATAAAATTTAAAAATAAAAGTGGATATAGTTTGGAAAGCTTAATATACTTGATGAAGTTTAGTGTCATCTTTACTTTGTTCTTTTCCAAAGTATGAAATGTGTGGAAACAAAGGAAATTACAAGCTGAGATTAAAAATGCAATTCAGCTGCTCAAGAATGCCTCTACTTGATGTCATATTTTTCATGAGAGGTGGAGAAGAACTTGAAAAAGGATTTTAAGAGACAGTGAATTTTAATCAAAGTGAAATCTTATTCACCAGTATCTACCAGAAGCATAGTTGAAACTGACTACTTCTGTTTATAGAGAGGCACTATGTTAAGAGGCAAGGACCTATGGGCCATAGTTCTAAAATCATCTAGGGAGAACTAAATCTGATTTCACAATGTTTAATTATACAACTTGTATTGTATGCTTATTAAAGGCATCATTTTTTCCTATCTATTAGATTCAGAACTGGCTTTGATGTACAATGATGAGTCTGTGTTGGAAAACCATCACCTGGCTGTGGGTTTCAAACTGCTCCAAGAAGAGCACTGTGACATCTTCCAGAATCTCACCAAGAAGCAACGTCAGACACTCAGGAAAATGGTTATTGACATGGTAAGAATCAACCTCTGTATATTCCTCATTTACTTTTTCTACCGTCTTACAGACTAAGTTTATCGAGAGTTTTCATTTTGCTTTTACCCAAGGTTTTAGCAACTGATATGTCTAAACACATGAGCCTGCTGGCAGACCTGAAAACAATGGTAGAAACAAAGAAAGTGACGAGCTCAGGCGTTCTCCTTCTAGACAACTATACCGATCGTATACAGGTATGTGCTGAACTTTGATGTGTTACAAAGCACAACAAATAACATCTAGAAAAAGGAAGCGCCCTTCGGTTAGATACGTCCTAGGCTGCTACTACAACTTTGGCCTTATTTTAAGAACAAGCTGAAGAAAATGGATGTTCAAGTTTATCTCTCATTTATGAGAAAAACATAACTCCATTTATTGAATTTCTTAGTTCTAAAAATAAGTTGCAAAATCTTTATATAATAGGACATATATAACTGTTGGTGCCCAAAGCTCATAATTTGAACCTGAATCCCTCTGACTTAAAACTTATTAGGTCTGTTTGGTTATAGATAGTGCTATCAGCTAGTCTCCTCTTTCCACAAACAGAAAACTTGAAGACATCTACTTTGAGTAATTCTTTAGATGCTTTCCAAACTGAGGAAAGGAAATGATAGCCGCATCTGAACTCCCGTGTCCCTTTCAATTCTTAAATTCAAAGACTATCAGTTTAAGAAGATATCTTTGTCAATATCTATATCTATATCCCCCTTTGGGCCCCATAATGATAAATAATCAACTCTGGCCAGCACTACTGTAACACTTTTTTTTTTTTTTTTTTTTTGGTGCACGTATCATAATTATAATGCAACTAAAATGTTCTTGGTTTGGTACTAAGTGTACAAATAAGAGAAGGATAAGATGTTCTGGCAGTATTTACACTTAATTTTATGGGATTTCCAAAACTCAATGATTTCAGGTCCTTCGCAACATGGTACACTGTGCAGACCTGAGCAACCCCACCAAGTCCTTGGAATTGTATCGMCAATGGACAGATCGCATCATGGAGGAATTTTTCCAACAAGGAGACAAAGAACGAGAGAGGGGAATGGAGATTAGCCCAATGTGTGATAAACACACAGCTTCTGTGGAAAAATCCCAGGTATTCAAAAGGAGAAATTTTTGTGATTTCTAGTGTTTGTAGAACTGGAGAGTTCTATCTAGTTTCTTTATTTTAACAAAATATCTCTCTCTCTCTCTCTCTCTCTCTCTCTCTCTCTCTCTCTCTCTGTCTCTCTCTCTTTCTGTATCTACATATGAAATGATGAAATGACAGCCACACCGTTAGTTTCATTGTGCTCATGACTCATCAGCTTTCTCCATTACACTCAATTTCACAGGGCAGGAATGAAGTGGTCATCAGAAACCCATCAATATTTGGACTGTGTATACCCAAACCATTTAGATAGTCATCTATGACTTCAGCAAATCTGGCTGATCTTTGACTACTGCTGTCTCTCCATCCCATTTCTCCAGAATTCTTGTAGATCTATCTTCAATTCCTCACTCTTGTGTCCAGTTCTCTGCTGTGGCTCTTTCTCCATTATCAAATGTGTTGCCACCATCATCAGAGGGCATCAAAGCCCTGTCTGTGTCCCCTTTCCACTTTGTAACGGTACCTTTAGGAATATTCTAGCATTTTCCAGTTGTGTCCAAACCTACAAATTCTGTGTTCTGAGAATGGGAAATAATACTTTGAAGGTGTGTGTTTGCAGAAATACCCCAGATGCTAATAGTTGTGGAATATGTATACTAGAAAGTATCTGTCTTCCTACAATAGCTTCAAGACCTGCTGAAATGCTTTTTTTTTTTCAGGACAACAAATGGGTTGAACCAGGTGCTATGATTCAAAATGGGTTTATGGGATATCCAAGGTGTTTATCACAAAAAAATTGGGACTGATTTTTGTTAGCATCTAACCTCTTTCCCCACTACCTGTAWGCCCCATATTTGTATATACTTATAGTATCCGTATGTAGTTTCTTTGCAGTTAGTATTTTGTTGCTTCTTAGAGAAATCCAACTAAATTAGTTTAATATCTGTAAAAGTGATCTAAATGCTATAAAGATTCAAGATATAATTAAATTAATCTGGGCCAAATCACATAACCTAGAGCTTTACCTGGAACAAGATAAAATAAAAAGCAATTTACATTTTTCTTACTAACAGTGATGGTTTATATTTATATGATGTTCTGTGTGGTCCCATATATTATCCTACGTGAATCCCCAAGCAACCATGCAAGCCAGATAAAGCAGGTGTTTCCCCAGTGTCCAGTGAAACAGCTGTTCTCTTCTTAGTCACCCGGTTGCCCTCCACCCAAGCTTTTCACTCTCCATCACTGGTCAGGTCTCCCCGATGCCATGACATCACCCCCACCCCACCCCCACCKCGCTCTGGTGTTTCCCACAGATGGCCTCTGTTGAACTTTATCTGATTCATCTGGCAGTAAARAGCTCATGGAATTTGTGTGCTCTTGGAATTTGTGGGTTCTTTCATCCCATGAGCTAGGAAATAAGCAACTAGCCCCTACCTTTTTAAAATGTCCTAAGCATTTCTTAGCAGCAACAAAAGCAAACGAGGAAAGGAAATGACAGCACTGGGTTCAGCTCACTCAGTTTTCTCCATTGCCTTGAGCTGATTTCTGGTCCCTGGAAAACACCTTGAAAATAGTCTCAAATCCATTAAATATGCATAAAGAAGTAGAAGGGAGGAGGGATGAAGTGTGGGCAGAAGAGAAGTATCTGACTCATCCACAGTCAAGTTGTCATAACCAGTGTCAATCAGAGATGGCCCAACTTTGGTGTGAATCTTGTTTTTGAAGGCTAAGAAAGAACCAGATATTTGAAAGAGTCACATATGATCAAGTGTTATGTATATAGTAACAACTTGAATAGGTCGAATGATTGGACAAATACCAGAATATTAATACAGGAAAGTTTCCAATGGAGTGGAAAGATAGCCATGTAATGTCCCCTGGGGGCCCTTGCTCATCTCCCCCTGAATCCCAAGCCAGTATCTCTCTAGCTCCCAAGACCATGACAGGGGAATTCCATTCCGTCATCCAACTATAGTCTATTCTCTCTCTCTACCTGCCCCCACCCCCACGTTTCCTGTTTGTCTGACAATGTAGAGGTCGACATGAGGCCACATGGCTAGCTCCTGCAGGATGCATAGTCCCTCTACACAAACCACAACAAAACTATAAGCCTTGGATTTATTCACAGGAACACCAGCAAAAGGAACTGCTTAATTGTTTTTATTTTCCTTCTCTCTTCTGATGGAAATGACTATGTGTCCTATGTATCCAAAACAATGGCAGGCATCTCCATAGAGGGGATCTTTGTTTGTTCGGGGCTTGAGTTATTTTCAAGTTCTTTTTTTTTTTAATCAAACTCCTCTACAAGTCAGAAGCAGCCCCCAGAACTTGAGAAATTCCAGAGCAGACAGATGCCYGCTCCTGTTGTTTTGGCACAACAGCATATTTTGAAGTTATCAGGGAAAGAATGTTGAGTCAGAACACTCTAGACCTGGGGCTGCCWTCTTCAGAGAATGACTCACAGAGTCCAAGGAGTGACACAGTCATTCCCAACACTAGTGTTACAGCCAGTCTTCTTACCTGGCACATGTAAAAGGAAAAGCAGTATGATATTGTGAGAGCACAGCCTTTGGAATCAGACAGAGCTGGGACTCAGTTCCAGCTCTATCACTTACTAGTTATGTGACCTCTACAAGATCTTTAATTTCCTGAGTTTCTTCTTCTGCAAATGGCAGACTACAATACTTACTTTGCAAAATGAAAAAAGAGATGCTGCATCTATTGCATCCAGGGTAGGACCTACCATAGAGAAAGGACTCTGATAAAGCAATAGGTATTACTGACCTCTCTGAGGTTGGAATGGCTCTCTCTTAGCATGGGAACCAAGACTGCTTGTTTGATTTTCAAGGGCCCTTTGCAATGACAGATGTGTAATCTTATTTTTCTCCAGGTTGGTTTCATTGACTACATTGTCCATCCACTGTGGGAGACCTGGGCAGATCTGGTACAACCCGACGCTCAGGACATTCTGGACACGTTAGAAGACAACAGGAACTGGTACCAGAGCATGATACCCCAGAGTCCCTCCCCACCACTGGACGAAAGAAACAGAGACTGCCAGGGTCTGATGGAGAAGTTTCAGTTTGAACTGACCCTGGAAGAGGAGGATTCTGAAGGACCTGAAAAGGAGGGAGAGGGCCACAGCTATTTCAGCAGCACAAAGACACTTTGTGTCATCGATCCAGAAAACAGGGATTCACTGGGAGAGACTGATGATGTGGACATTGTGACAGAAGACAAGTCCCCGATTGACACATAATCTCCCTGCTCATGTGGAGACGAACATTCCACCCTTGACAAGCATGCCAGCTGTATGGTAGGGCCAGCCCATCACCAGGGCAAGGCCCACACCGGACAAAGGTCACCTGGCCTTTGCAGTTACTTGAGTTTGGAGCCAGAATGCAAGGCCATGAAGCAAATAGCAGCTCAGGAATCCCGTGGTTGACTTGCCTGGCCTGCAGGCTTGGTGGAGAGCTGAAGTTTTATTATGGTAGTGGAGGCCAGTATCCCATCGCGACTCAATGGCTTGAAAAATGGAAGACACAAAACTGAGAGATCTCTCTGCACTAAGTTTCGGGACCTGTCCCGACAAGTGACTGAACTCACTGATTAATAACTTCATTTATAAATCTGCTCACCTGTCCCCTTGTCTGCCAACCTGTGTGCCTTTTTTGTAAAACATTTTCATGTCTTTAAAAATGCCTGTTGAATACCTAGAGTTTAGTACCAACTTCTCCACAGATAAGTGTTCAGAGCTGACATACACTTTTTTTTTTTTTTTTTACTCTTTCTGGGGGGGGTGGGAAGGAAAGAAAATAGTCTTCCTTCTTTCTTGGGCAATATCTTTCACTTTAACTACATTTAACTTTTGCAAACAGACCGGAAGGACACAGCTCTAACCACATTCTACTTCCTTCCCCTGTTGTCCAGTCCAGCTCCACAGTGGCCCTGGTAACCCAGGCTRTTTGCTGGCTTCTAACAGTAGTTTTTCTCTAGGGTCTCACTATTTTGCTCTAAGCAGAATAACATTGTACAAAATAGGGGATGGGGGGGGGTGGCTGTATTGTTCACCATGTCAGCCTGTCTGTATAGCACTCAACTTAATAAGGCAGTGTGCCCCTTGTGTCCTGAAGCCTCTGTGCCTCTGTGGGTTGCACAGCCCCATCCTGTTCTCTGCCTACCCCCTTCACTCCRTGATTCTAGTCACTCCATTTTGCCRTTCACCATTTAACGCTGCCATCTTCCTCTTGCACTGCCTTCTGYGCTAACACCTCCATTCCTGTTTATAACCGTGTATTTATTACTTCATGTATATACTGTAATATTTTGTAAGTTATTAATTTATATATCTAACATTGCCTGCCAACGGTGGTGTTGAATTTGTGTAGAAAACTCTGCCTAAGAGTTATGACTTTTTCTTGTTATGTTTTGTATTGTGTATTCTATAACCCAAACATTGCTTAAGAGAGACACAGGCCCCTCTGCACAGAACACAGGGATGGGCCTTTTGCTAAGAGGGCCTGCCCTCTCCCTGTCTGAGTTCCTAATRCTGCACAGCCCCTTTATGAACAGGTTTTGCAAACAGGATGCTCATATTCGATACTAAAAGGTTTATACTGAGCTTTTATTTTGTATGGTTTGATAGGGGTAGGGGGCGATGGGACGTTGTTTTTACCCATGTTCTATCCAAGTCTGTGTGCGGCATGAGTTGGGTTATAACCGGTTTCTACTATAATTGTGGCTTCGGTTCAAAAAGCAACACTACATTTGCTCACAGATGATTCTTCTAAGTATTCCCAAACTACTGACTTTGAAGAGCTAGCCTCCTGCCTGCCACTAAGCGACAATGTCATGTTCCAATTCATTCTGAAAGAAAATGATAAAACAATGTGAATTTTTATAATAAAATGTGAACTGATGTAGTAAATTATGCGAATGTGAAGCTTCTTCTGATAACACTTGTTAGGCCTCTTCCTGGTGTCAGTTTCAGTTTGTAAAATATGTTTCATGCTTCRGTTCAGCATTGTGACTCAATAGTTTAAAAAATGGCACAAATGTGCATGACCAATGGGTTTGTATGTCTATAAACACTGCATTGTTTCAGGTGGACATTTTACTGTTTTCAAGTTTCTCACAATGTATGTTATAGTATTATGATTATTATTATTATTATATATTGTGCTCAAATGCATTCCTAAGAGACTTTTATATGAGGTGAATAAACAAAAGCATGATTAGATTAGACTGTAGGCCCAATTATTTTGTGGTTAGTTCTGATGTATTTTAAAGCAGATCTTGTTTCCCTCTCTTTTCTCCAACTGTAACCCACAAAGAAAGTCAAACACTTTACCTGATCAACATCAAACTGGGGTTCTAGAATCTATTACCAAAGAATCCCACCTGTTCRTTCAGCAACTGTTCATTCAGCTCAGAGGTGCAGGCAGGGAGGTGGTGAAGAAAAGCACAAAAAACCACTTTGTTCACCTTGAACCAGCTTTGAGAATGTGATGTGTTGAGACATACAGGACGTCCTCAGCTTGGCTGGGTGCTTCAGAAAAGTGAATCAGAAGCATAGCACATTAGCTTAATGTAGTCAGGGAGACTCACTGATTCCCTCCACACAGGACAAATTTGAGGTCCAGAGTCATCTTAAACCACAATCCACAGAGCTGGGATGGACTTTCATGGTCTTCTCAATGATCCAAGGACTATCTTGCTAGTTGTATGGTTAAGCTTTTCTTTCTGGAAAGAATGAGCATAAGCAAAGCACTTAAATGTTTTGTTGAAATCTTAAAAGTCAGCATTTTAAAAATTTATACAGAGGTGTGTGTGTGTGTGTGTGTGTGTGTGTTTTGGGGGGAATTTGCAAAAAAGAATCAGTGGGTCACACAGTGTAATCCCAGCAATTTGGAAAGCTGAGGCAGGAAGAGCAAAAGTTCAAGGCTAGCCTGAGCAACTTAGGGAGACCCTGTCACAAAATAAAATTTAAAAAGGTTCTAGAGGTTGTAGCTCAGTGGTCGAGTATTCCTGAATAAATCCCTAGAACTGGGGGGGAAAAAAAAAACAAAACAAGAATTGGCAATGGTTCTTATTATAAGTGGTAAGTAGAAGTAGTCTATTAACAAGTAGGAGGGTGTGCTCTGATAGTACTGCACTTAATAAGCTGAAATTACTGAATTTCTTTGCAAAGACAAGGGAAGAGAAGCCAGTGCTGCAGAGCCAGCATCCCCAGGACTTCTGATGATACCTCACCATTGCGGAGCTTCCACTGATTTAGTGACCAAAGTAGATTGCTTATAAGTGCTACAGGCATGATTTTTTAATATGCCTATAGCTATAAATATTTGCAAGTCTTTTTTTTCCTATTGAGAAGGGGGTCCTTAACCCTTGCTACAAATGAGGATCACATGGAAAATATATATATTTTTAAATACTGTTGTTTGGGCACCATTCTCCTCCCAGATTTCTGATTGAAGTGATCTTGGTGGAGCCCAAAGCATCAGATTGTTTAAGTTTTTCCCAGGTCATTYCATTGTGTGATTGGGAGTAGAGAATCACAGTTTCAGAACCAAACCATGCTTGGAGCTACGGCTTTCACTCATGTGTCTTTAGACATTCATTTTGCACCTATCATGACCTGCATGGCATAGTCAAGAAATTTTTTATGGTAATTTTGGTTATGTTCTAGTTTTCTCTTTCCAATGGACTTTTCACCTAACTTCCAGGTACGATGGGAATACACGATGTTACTAGTTTCCTACATGGGAATCTCATAGGGTTTTGTTGTTGTTGTGATGGTGGTGATGGTGGTGTATGTGTGTGTGTAGTGCAGKAAATGAACCCAGGGCCTTGTGCACACTCAACAAGCAATTCTACCACTGAGTTACATCCCCAGCATTATCCTACATGGAAATCTTAAGAAGAGTCAGGCCACRACTCGGGAATCCAACTGGTTACAAGCCAGCTGTAACCTGTGAGGGTAGGGACCATGCTGRGTGCTTTCTCCCCTCTCTACATTTCTAGCATCATACCTCATAGAGAGTTAATGCTCAAACATTAGTACCTGGGCTATGGTATGCATTAACAAATATTAGCTGTATATAACTAGAGGTAGAATGTTTTCTACCTTGTCGTTTCTTTTACCATTTTTCATATGACTTTCATTCACAGTTCTGGTCAACTTATCCTGGGTTTGCTCAAATAACAGTGTTTCCTTAGGTTCAATGTCCCAGAACCAAGCACTGTATTTCATTCATGGTAGGGCACAGTGTAACTCTTACCCTTATTTGTTCTGGGCCCTGTTCCAAAACCCAAGCTTGTATTCATTTGGGGGATGTCAGTGACTCACCTGGATGATTCATAAGGGGCTTATAGACAAACAAAACCTTCCATGTCTTTTCACATGAACCACTCCTAAACTGAATCTTCTCAATTCTTTTACTTACGCAATTGAATTTCTGAACCTTAATGCACAGTTTATACTTTCCTACTTCATTTCATCTGAAAAACCAGTAGAATACAGGAAAGAATTTTCAATTGGGGTGTCAGATTGACCTATTTGTAAATTCCAGCTACATACACCTTTGTGACCTTAGAKAACACACTTATTTGATCTTCAGTTTCTTTCTGTAAAAATAAGGAATGATACCTACATCAAAAGTTTATTTAGGAAGACTGAGATCACTTAGATGCAAASAATCTGACACATTCCAGGCATAGAATAAATGAGATTTATTAGGAATATTAATGCCCTACTATGGTGGTTAAATGAGATAACACTTACATGGAAAAAAAWTTTCATATTATTAGATGCTATTATTTGGGGCCTAAAATATTATCTAGAATTCTGATTCTGATAATTCATTATCATAACTTCCAATGCTCCCTTAACATCTGTAATCTCATCTTCGATAATAATCTAGTTTATATTTTCATTAACATTGTAAGTACAAATGGTAATCAGGATGGGACATGGAATGGAGGAGTGATGAGTCACCTGCCAACTTTCGGATCAGCATTCTCCTCCTCAATCCTAACTGACTGAGAAGAGATGATAGCACGACTTAACCATCAGAGAACCAATGCCAGCTACTTCTTTCTTGAATAGAGCCTACTAAACATATATTAATAATCTGTTCTAGGATTTTTCCATACAATTGATGCTACTATGTTTGGCCAACTGCAGTGCCAGACTCTTTCTAGAAAATGGAAAATTCTCCCAGAATTATGGCCTATTTTTTCTCTCTAATTTCTCAAATAACACCAATTATGAGCCAAAAACACATTGTCAATTCTTTTCAGTGGCCTGGGAAATCACATGCTGAGAGACATAAAACCACTAAAAGGGCAGAGGTACTTTGCTTTACCTGGCGAGTCCAGCAGGAGAGCATGGTAGTTGTGCACGCTGAGGTAAGTGCGCATCTCCCTTTCTCTGAGGAAGACAGTCCTCCAGCAGGCTTATAGTTTCAGAAGGGGTGCTCGAGGAGCAGTGAAGGAGGACAGGCGAGCCTCCACTAATTCATTTTGGTGCTTCAGCACATGCAGTTGAGTAACTCAGTAAACGCATACTGAGTCTGAAGGGGTAAGAAAGGGAGTTAATTCTTTTCTACCCATCATACAAGATCACAGCCCTAAGCCCTATAATAAATGACAGATTAAGAGAAAGAGCTTAACAAATTTATTSGACCATTGTTTTATGTAACATGGAAGCTTCAGATTTGAGATCCAAAGATCCAGGGTGACTATCCATTTTTATGCTTATGTTTGATGGAGCAGGGGCAGCTAAATAGAAATATAATTGGACACAAAAAAATATGATTTAGTCTATTTGGATTCTTCATGGCCATTCCTCTGCAGCATTCCTTTCTTCTGGGTATGGAAAGAATCTTTTCTAGAAGGAAGATTTTTATGGCCTACAATCAAACATGATAGACCAGAGATTTTGTTATGGACAACTCTGACCCAAAAAGGTGGAGGAAAGTTTGAGTAATACTTTTAAGCTTTATGCTGGCTTGGGGGTAAAGGGATCTGGTTTCTATGAACCACCTTGGGGAAGATGAATTCTAGTTTCTATGGCCTGCCTTGGAGAATGAGAGGTGAGAGATGGAGGGTGTGTGTTTGTGGGTATGTGTGTAGGGGAAAGTCAGAGAGGAAGTTTCCTTCGGYAACTGCTCCGGAGGCCTTCACTTTGGGGTATCATTTTCTAAGCCCTAACCATCTCCCAACATTTTCTAAGCACTATCTTAAGACATATGCCTGTGCCTTACATATTGGWGGATGTAGAAAAACAGATGTGCAAATAAAAAATTCAGTTTCATTTTAAGAAGTGCTAAACTMGAGGTAGACATAAAGAACATAATGCCTAACTCCATCTGGTGGGAGGTAATCGGGAGTATTTCTCATCAGGAGTCAAAGTTGAGTCTTTTTTTTTTTTTTTTTGGCCCATCATAAAAGATCACAGCCCAAAGCCCTCTGACAAATGACAGATTAAGAGAAAGAGCTTAACAAGCCTAAATGAGAAGCAGTCAAAAGACCAAATGGATCTGGAAAGAATGCCAAGAGGCCTGAATTCCAGGAGGAAGGAAGACCAGTAAAAAAGTCRAGGACTTGAATTAGTATTTTTCAGTCCCATTCATAGATTCATTAATTTAAAAAATATTTTGAGGGGTTCAAACCATGAGCCAAGGGCTCTAGTAGACACTGGGGATATGGAGCAGAAGGACACAAACAGAGAAAAGCTTCCCTATCATTCAGTAAGGCTGCAGCCAAGGAACTGATGCAGGTTCTCCCAAGGATGGAAATAGAGTTATATGAAAGTAATCAAAAGAAATAACCAGTTACATGAAAGTAATGAAAAGGAACCAATTTGTAAGGAAGGGGAATGGAAGCATTTTATGACAGTTACATCAAGTCCTGTGGTGGGAGGCAGCAGAGCACCTAGGAGGAACTGAAAGAAGGTTGGTATGGCTTGAGGTGTGGAGTAGTAAGAAATGATGCCCACGAGGTGACACAGGCCAGAGCCCACAARGCC